ATCGTGGGTTTTATAGCTCTGAATATACGTAAACCTATAAATTTAATTTCAACAAGTATGGGTAGTGTTAGGGATTTTCAATTTGAAAGAAACAACACGTCTCTATCACATTTAAGGCCTCTATTGATAAGAAAATCCCAAATTCTCCCTCTTTTGTAGACTTTATATAGAGAAGCATCATGTACTACGAGGAATTAGGAAATTTCAAAGTTAACCGTCAGAACACCAATTCATGTCGATAAACTCACCGATTGAACTGCCACCATTATAGTTTCTGTATTTTCTGAAACGGCCTCATGCAAATCGACGTTTGGGCAGTCTATCATATGAGGCAATAACGTGTATTGGCTCAGGGGATTGCTTCTTGAAAAATAGGGGTACCTAAAGTTGTGTAACATTGCATAGCCACTATATTGTCCGGTCCCCATCCATATCATGGAGTTCAATAGATGTTAAAACTACCTAGGTACATAAGTACCCATAGAGTATCATAGTAATTAAAAGACCTAAAACTCAAATAGCCAGGTGCCAATGTTATCCATGGTAGTAGTACCAGCGAAAGCAGCTGCAACATGTGAACGCCAAATCCTTGACCAGATGCGGCTTGGTTGCTTCGATCCAAGACGGGGAGTATGACACAGTACATATCGTCATGAACTAGGACGGCCCAGATGCAACTTCCACCGCTCAGTATGGTAATCTAAATATAAGTGTTGACAACACAGGTCGAGGTGGGTTTATCTGCACTTAGTCCAATGCCTATCAACTAAAGTGCCACCGAGGCAAGTTACGAACGTGCCAATGATAGTAGACATGAAGCTACCCATGGTCTGAGATCGTACTATGAAATAAGTAGCCACCTACGTAAGTGGATAGATAAGTTCCGGTATACGCTTGGACATACTACTTCAGTAGGTACCTACACTTCCAGTACCTTTTCGCAAAATAATACCTGTAGGAGCAGTCCACCGTAACAGGTCATCACCCTCTTAGAACCATCCGGAGAGTAATCTCCATTCAATGACGGCCCGGGGATACGCTTAGATCCTACCGAGGATCCAATACCATGGAACGCGCATTGCTATCAACACCAACAGATTCCCAATGCTACGTTGTTAGAAGTCGACCATGCAGTTGGAGAGCTTACGTGCATGGCGTAACAGACTTAGTGTTACCAACAGCAATATCGACTCTTATGAAGACTATCATAAATTGCGTCTTTCTGGTCTCGGGATTTCAAGTTGGTTAAGTTGAGAATATCTTATACTTTGCATAGCGTGAAATAAGGAGTTGAAACACTCATCGCCATGGCTACCCCCCTAATACAAGCTGCCACTCATTCATTTGAGCACAACAAGACTGTTCCAGTGGTAACATTTGAACCATTCGACCTTCCCCCGAGCAACCAGCGAGTACTAGGGGCTCCTCATCCACATGGTACTATCATCCCACTTGCTCTGCGCCCTTCAACCCCCGATGATGCTGAGCTTGACTTGGACACGGTCATCGAGACTGTAAAGTGTCTTCAAGCTCAGAGTGGAATCCTTACTAAGGAGTTGGCTCTCCATGGAACGCTCCTCTTCCGGGGCTTGCCAATCCACGACGCCGAGGATTTCAGCAAATTTGCTCACGCCTTTGGATATAAACCCCGGTAAGTATGAATATGATCTTCCACAAACTTTCCGTTTCTACAACCATAACTAACATTCACCCAGTACGTAGTACTCTACTCCACTGTCACTGTCAAGTTTTCTTAATATCTCAAGGAAGCAACGAGTCCCGAGAAACATACTGACATCTTGAAGATGAGATTATTGGCGTTGTGGTTAACCGCCCCGTGCTTGCGCCTAATGTAGCACCAGCAAATGAATCTCCAAAAGACGCTCTAATTTATAACCACAATGAATCAGATGAAGTACCTCATGCCCCTGAGTACGTATTCTTCTACGGACACAGTGTTGCTAAGAGCGGCGGAGAGACACCTATCGCATCGTCTCTAGAGTTATTCCACCGAGCACAACAGGAAATCCCCGAGTTCATCAACCAACTCGCAGAGAAGGGAATTCTGAGCAAAATAACGTACAAGGTTGATAAGCAATATGCCGGTGGCTCGACTCTAAAGCAGGCGTTTGGGAAGGAAATCCAAGATGGTGATGACGAAGCGATTAAGAGGGCGAAGATTGAGGCCCAGATTGCTAGGTATGGGAGGGGCAAGCATACTACCTGGGAATGGACCGACGACGGCATCGTATTGACACACAGACTTCCTGCGATCCGTACCCAACCGGGCACGGATCTTCCCACGCTTTTCACCGGGCTGGGATCATTCTATAAAAACCTTCAAACCAACACCGTCAGCAGGAAGAATGCGCAGCAACTTTTCGGGGATGGCACGCCGATTCCCATAGAGTATCTCAAGAAACTTGCAGAGATCACTGACGAGATTCGTGTGTTACACAAGTGGCAGCGCGGCGATGTGCTCGTCTACGACAACATCATAGCACAACACGGGCGCCAGCCGTGGCAGGGCGAGCAGTCCGACAGAGTTATCATGGCGAGTCTATTCGATGGTGATCAAGTACCTGGTGCTTACAACTCGAACGATTGGGCCCAGGTCGTTCAGGCTCTTGAAGGATAATTCCGCATCATCATGCGCAGCTTCGCTGTTTGTTAATGAACGGGTCTTGAATCTTAACCCTTTCTTAGCTCAAAGATATTCCAGAGTATCTCTATTATATTTAAGTTAGCTTGGAGATTATGTAGGAGTACTAGGGTCAGGCAGATTGGAAACCGGACGTTACCACGGCTAATCTCAACTTGTCGTCTTAGACACGCACCCCACTCAAGTAAATAAATACAAATAATTCTACAACAGTTAAAGAAAGAATAAAGAAGACTTCAAGTGGTAGATTCTACTAAAGTAGTACGTGAAAAATAATATAGTTGTATTTTTTCTTTCGATTTCCGTTGTTATGGTCGCCGTTGGAATTTACCCGCCCCCTTTATCCGCCGATTAGGTTAAATTACTTGCGATAGAGCCGCACCATACTCAACAAGGCCAGATTGAACATTTTATCTCCCCATATAATCCTTCAACCATTAATCGTCTGATGTGTGTATTAAATAGGGTTCTATGGAGCAAGACTAGAAAATGCGCACTTCTTCAAACACATATGCGTGATGCCGCCCTATCGTAGAGCTTTCTGGACGATATGCATTTTCGCTCCCTTGCTCTACATTTACTGGAGAAAATTCACGGCATGCGATACCTCAGGTGGGCCCCTAGGTCTAACAGTGGAAGATGATGCGGAAAATGATGCGCTTAATAAGACGCTGGGCGTAAGACCCCTTTTCCCCTTTTCACTCATTTACTTCAATACGTCAGTTTTGTAACACACCCACAGTTCTCAAAAATATTCGTCCTCAACCTGCCTTCGCGGACAGATCGCCGAGATGCCATGGGTCTAGCTGGCGCTGTTAGTAACCTCAGTTTCAGCTGGATTGATGGTGTTACAGGTGACCAAGTGTCAGAAGGTGACGAGGCACACTCTTCTGGAGCTAGAGGATCTTGGAGGTCTCACATGAATGCGCTGCAAAGTATTGTCGAGGACAATTTGGGAAGCGCACTCATTCTTGAAGACGACATCGACTGGGATGTGCGCCTGAAGTCACAACTTCGAACTTTTGCATCGGCCTCGAAGACCTGGTTGAAAGAGTCGAAATCAAATAAAGGAGAAATTGTCTTGGCCGATCTCATATCGCCCTCGTATGTACGAAAAAGAAGCGGTAGAGCCGCAGAAACACAAGAGTCTAAAAGAGATACGACGCAGATGAAGACGGCCATGAGAACTGATAATAAAGTACATCAAAGTGCATATGGTAATGGTTGGGATATCTTATGGCTCGGTCATTGCGGTGCTGATTTTCCCGACTTTCAAAAGCCTTTGGTTCCACCCCTTATCGTCACGATCCCAGAGGACGAGACAGTCCCCGCTCCAAAGCATCTCAAACCACATCCATTTGCCCTACTGGATAAACTTGGCTGGGATTATGCCGCGCATACACGCGCCGTGCACGCGTCTAGCGGAAATGTATGCAGTCTAGCCTATGCTGTCAGCCAGGAGGGAGCCCGGAAGTTGTTGTCGGAATTCAATGCCCACTACGACGCACAATGGGACTTGATGCTTCAGAAATGGTGTGAAGGAGGGTATAATTCTAAGGAGGAGATCACAACCGACTACGAGGGAGAAAGTGATAGTGTGACTATTGAAGACCATGGAGCAGATACTCCCGTCTGCCTCACCGTACAGCCGCCATTGTTCAGTCACTATTACGCTAAAGGCGGTACATCTAATATTCAAAGTCAAGGCGGTGGATATTCGAAGGGCACGGGGACACCATACATAAGATTAAGTGTACGGAAGAACTTAGGGCGCTTGGCCACTGGAGCGCCGCTCAGTGAAATGGTCGATCAATTACCTGACGACGGGGAACCCATATGGAAATAGGAACTCTGCATCACAAATGATAGGTTTCGCATGTAAATGCAAGCCAAATACCAATAGACAACGAATGAAATTGATTTTTGTGCTTGATTTAGCTCTCAATAGTGATAATTTTGTATGAGAAGTTGATCGAACGATTTCTATTACCCCTGAACGGTAGTCCCTACCATATTTACATGTGAATATAAAACGTTCAAGAGAGCCATTAGCATCTAATCGACCGCAACTGGTCCAATAGAAATATATCCATCCGTAAGGGCCCAGGATATGGCGTAGACTCGATGGGAAAATATGTTCTAGCTAAAAGGGGTCGGTCAATCTCTGCTCGTCATGTATGTCACCTCACATCAAGTAGGATACCAATTGATGCATACGAAAAATATATACTTATAGCTATTAGTCCCTAAGCCTTTATGTATAAAATAGATTACTTACATGTAGGTAGGTACGTTATGATGAAATGATGTCACAAGGTAAAAAGAGAAAAAAAAAGATTGGACTCGCGGGGAATCGAACCCCGAACCTCTCGCAGGCATCTAGTGCTAAGCGAGTGTTATGCCATTAAACTACGGGCCCTTCTTGTCAAAGCCGTGTCTTTGCTTGGTTGGTTTCCATAAAACAATAGCTATAAGGCAAGGTAGTGAAATGGTGGCACAGGCATTGAATCTAAATGGGTCTCCTTCGAGTGTACTTTCCCTTTCAGTTCTAAGCAATACCGTACCTACCTACCTACCTACAGTATGTGGGTATTTAGGCATCTACGCAATGTTTAAGACACTGTCTCCGGTATCCAAGTTTTGAATTTAATTCAATTACACCTGGTAGCTGACACTTGATCATTCTGAACATCAACGACACGGATGAAGCACGACTTGGTAAGATGACTGAGTAGCTGACTACCTATCTTCTTACTAAATTCTTATTGTCACGATGCAGATTTTGGAAGCATGAAACGGAACTATGTTGCGGCACGAAGAGCCCTATCGGCCACGAGCACTCCCGGGTCTAATAGAGTCGATAGGGGCTCAGCGGCCAAGATAAAGTAGACTCAGGTATACAGACCTGGCACCTACTCGCGACCAATTTTTCGTAAATAGGGCTCCTCGTGCTGCCACGCATTTCCTTCCTAGTGCTCTCATGATTACATTGTGACACCAGATATATATGTTTAGGAATCCCCATGCATGATAGACTGCTTAGTTTCATCAATTGAATTAACGTAGTAGCACAAATGTACGAGCACCTAGCCCCAGTATAGAATATTTTTTACTCGCCTTAGGCACCTACCTAATTTGATAAGTCTTCAAACAGATCTCCAGGTCACCTCTGGAGCGGTGTTTGTCATCCTACTAGTCCTGTTCCGAAACCTTAACGATGTTAAGCTGCTCAGTGTGTGCTATATCACTGAGCTCATTATTAGATCCTTCTGGGAAAAGTCGTAGCCTCGGTCAATAGCTTTGTCAACCAGTGTTTCCGGTGTGATGGTCTCCCGAAAGATAAAGCTTTATTGTTACTTCCAGTTCACCTATCCCACGTCGTTTAATTCATCTTCTTCGTCGTTTTGTTTATATTTTTCGTCGTTTTATTTTAGGAAGACTCAACCCTCTGCAGCAATGTGAAGATGGACGCATAACAATCAACTTAGGTACTAGACTTAGTTTCTTTCTTCACAAGTATGCTAGTACAGGAATTACTACGTGAAAAATCCATTGCGAAACCATGAATCCATTTTCACATTTATTATCTGATTATGTGAGTTCACTTGCCCTGTAATCAAGGCAAACTCATACGTGGAAATCACAAACTTCTCCTATGTAAGGTAGAGATATTTCACAAAATTTCACAAACTAAGGTAACTATTGAAGTACCTAAAGGTGATACATATTTGCCTAAAGGAAAGGAAGACTATCCAGGTAGGGAGGCAATAGTAAGCGTCGGCAACCTAGCTGTCGTTCTAGAAGCACCCAAGCATTGATGGGGGGTTATGTGATGGGAAGAGAGCTTGACCTCTATATGAGGAAAAATATTATTTCTGCTTGTGAAGGCTATCTGTTATTTACTTTGACTTAGGTAAAATAGAAACCAAGTATTATCCAACTGAAGGAGACCATAGGTACCTACCTTAGGGACCTAGGTAGCTGATCTACAGCTGTGTAATGCGCTAGGTTACCTAGGTACCTAGGTGGTACCTAACCCTACAGCACCAGTTAATCAATACACGATGAATAAGCAAGGAATTTCCATATTCCATGTCATTCAGATTACCTACGTCGAGGTGTACTATGTACAGAATAATCCTGGCCGAGATAACTTAAATTGCTGTTTAGGTCGGTTCCTCAAGTACCAATGTACTAGTGCTGGCAATTCTGCTTGTACATACCTTCTAGAAGGTCAATCAGCCCCACATGCAACTGCACAACTCCGAAAATATCACAATCACAGGCAGCAACCGCCAGCTATTCAAAATCAAAACATTTGTTTATGTACTGGTTTAGCCCAAACCTTGCATTACTTGTTTATTTTAATCCAAACTCAACCTTTTTTCCCATTACCTCTTCAGTCAAGAATCATCCATCATTTCATCTCAAACTTCTTCCCACTCGACTCGCGTATCAAGCTTCGCATACATCATCATCAATTGTCATCAATCATGTACAAGAGCTACATTCCGCCCTTTCGTCGCGCGGGCGCATCAGCGACCGGCGACACCTCTGACGCTCGCCAGTCAGGTGATCCGCCTCCCGACAACTCGCGCGCTGGTCACGCTTCCAACTGTGGACGTGGCAGAAACAACAGGGGTGACCGAAGTAGAGATGAATTCCGTGGAGACCGAGGCGGAGGTGAATTCCGCGGTGATCGAGGCGGAGGTGAATTCCGCGGTGATCGAGGTGGAGGTGAATTCCGCGGTGATCGAGGTGGAGGTGATTTCCGCGGTAATCGAGGCGGAGGTGAATTCCGCGGTAATCGAGGCGGAGGTGAATTTCGTGGTGACCGAGGTAGAGGCGAATTCCGTGGTGACCGAGGTGGTCGAGGACGCGGTCGCGGTCGCGGCCGTGGTCGTGGCCGAGGAGGCTACAACGATCAGTTCTTCCAGGGCCACAACCGCCAGCAGAGTGACCAACAGGAGCCTGCCAACAAGGAGGGGCTCTATCAACTTAACGACGTTATTAATCACTTCGAGGATGTCACGAACTCTACTAGCACTACCTTTCATGATTCCAAGAAGAATCCCGGTCAGCTCTCGTACCTGCTGCTCTTCGCCGACGCTAACCCGCGCTGGAACACGAACCAAATCGTCTTCGCCAAGTCCAACCTGCTCCTCCTGCCCGAGTATGAGGCGAAGAAACTAGAGCATGGAGAGTGGCAGCGCCCGAAGACACCCGAGACGGGCGGAGAGACTCAACCTCAATCGTCTAACGGCTCCACTGATGATGTCACTGGTGATGTGACCGAGAAAAATGAACCTCAACCCACTTCGCAAGGTGAGGATGCTGGACAAGCCACAGTCGCGACCGATCCCGAGACTTCCAAGAATGAGGAGACTCCCAAGGGAGATGTTACTACTTCCGATGTGACTAATCCTGCGCCCTCCGAGAATGAAGAGAAGCCTAAGGAGGATACTGCTACTTCAGACGCCGCCAAAGGTGACGAAGCGCCAGCACCAGCTGCAGAGCCCGCAACAGCATCTCGCAGCCGCTTCGGCTTCACCGACATCCGCAACCTACCACCTGAGGAGCTCCAGCGTCTCGAGGAGGAAGACAAGCAGCGTCGTCTGCAGCGCATGCAGCCGCAACAGCCGCAAATCCCCGTCTTCCCACCCATCCAGCCTATTGACTACGTGCCGGCCACCCAGGAGCCCATCGCCGCCTTCGAGGAGCAGCGACGTGGCTACGACAAGTTTCAAAGCCTTTTCTCCTTCGCCGGCTGGTACAAGGTGACGCGCGTCAACGTCCTGGCCCCGCACTCGGCCGAGCTCGTGCGCATGCAGCAGCAAAAGTGGGAGCGCCGCGACCGCAGGGGTAACGTGATTCCTACTAAGACGCGTGATGCCGCCGCCTGGGACGCCGCGCTCATGACCGAGTGGGCCGTGGTCAAGTTCGAGAAGATGGGCGATGGTGCGGATGGCACGGCCGCAGCACCGCCTCCTCCTGTCATTCAGAAGCTGCCTGAGTCTGAGCCCGAGCAGACGAAGCAGGCGACTAGTGGTGGAATCGAGGGAGAGACGAAGCCCAGTGATGGGAATGAGGCAGAGGCAGTGTCCGCATCGAAGGACGTCGACAACAAGCTGAAGGAGATGAGTGTCAAGGACGACGTCAAGGCTGCGAACGGAGATGAGAAGGTCTCTACGGAAGCCACCAACTCGTCTGAGGGAGCTGAAAAGCAGCCAATTGCTGAGGATGAGGTGAAGAAGGAAGAGCCAGCTATGGCTCAGGAACAGGAGAACACTTCTACGTCTTGAGCAGTCAACGAACGCATCATGCATTTCAAGGGTCATATGGCTGGACTGGAATTCCTCTAGGTCATTGCATTTGGCGGCGTTTGCTTAGAAGTGGCACGAAAAAAAGGTCTGCATCAAGCATCAAGGCGTTACGGATTAGGTCATGGCATGAGATAGGCTAGCTAGCTCGTTCTGTAAGGACAATGAATGGTTGGCATGATGCTAATCCATATGGTAAACCTCACAGCTTAATTTTGATCGACTCGTAATGTGATTTCACGTAGTAAACATCGTAATTCATAATTGTAAATTCAGGACTTAGTTGCTCCAACTTCCTCGCCCTCCACGTAATGGCTACTCCATGTATGGAATGGCTAGGTACTTCATGAAATCCAAGTCCAAACTGGTAGTCTTTCATCTTGTTACCACTGCAACTCATTACACGTGCTTGGCCAAGAACTTCAGCACAATCTCGTAGCCCCGGATATACTCAGCCTTGACGCGCTCGTCATCTAGGTCAGAGCGGGCTGCCATCCAGCCGTGGATCTGGTCGCCGAATGTCTCAACGTGATGATCGATCTTGGCGATAACTAGGTTCGCCTCGAATTGCTCGACGTCGCTAGGCTTTTCGTCTTTAGACGCCAGCATCATAATGGGCACTTTGATTTTCTCGGCGTCGGTTGGTTCAACCATGGCGGGGTGGCACTCGACACCTGCCTTGAAGGGTTTGCTTGGGCTCGCGGTCGCGAGCGAGACAACCTTGCCTCCCCAGCAGTACTATGATTGGCTAATGTTAGTGACGGCTTATGATACGGAATGGCTCAACTTACTCCGATAATAGCCCAGCTTGTGATCTCGGGATACTTGGCCTTGACAGCCTCGAGATAGCCCGGGACCTTTGCAGCTATGTCCGGCGCTGGGAACTTCTGGAAGAAACTGGTGAGTCCCTTTTGCTTCTCCTCGGTGTCGGGCGGGAACAGCTCGATAGGACACGGCTCGCCCTTGAACCAGTCCGGCATGAAGACCTTGTACTGGCTCGAGTGGTCCGATGTCGCGAGGATGTCGGCGCCTTGCAGCGTCTGCGGGTAAAACCCGAAGATGTCGAAGATGTCGATTATGCCCTTGGTTGCCTCCTTCG